TGGTGTTTTCCAAGTCTGGTACACCTACCTCTTTTGTATGGGAGATGACATTAGGTATAACAAAAATGAAAATTTTTATTTTAAAATGTTACATTATTTATTTTAAGGGTATTAGAAAATACTGGTGTCTCATGTATAGTAGGATATAAAGTTTCCTTTCAAAACAAACATTTTATAGGAAATGTTTTAATAAATAAGACTACATGTGGTTCTTGGATATGCAAACAAACAAAAAAGCCAGCAAAAAAGCCAACATGGAGTGATGTGCAAAAAACTACACTTTGTGAAACACAATGTTACAGCATCAAAAATGGATAAAAATTGTTTCTATAACATTTTGCTTAAATTCTTAAATTTTGCTTTTTTAAAAAGTACAAGCTTTCAAAAAGTAGGTTTAGTTTTGCTCATAAATAGCTACGTATGAAGAGCAATGATTTGGGCCAGCTCTTTCAAGTATTTCACAAATAACTAAAAGCCACTCTTTATTTCCAATATGTGAAAAGTCAAGCTAGATATAATCATCAACATTATTTTCTCATTTAATATTTCTTAAAGCTTTGTTTCTTCTCCTGAAACATCCTGATAATACTGTAAATTAATTTTGAGTTTGTGTGCGCAACTTATAGATCTGGTGAAAATCTCCTTGAGGTGATTTTGAAATTTATCTTTTTCATGTCCCTCGTACTGGTTATATTTCAATGTCCTTGCTCTTTATGCTTCATGCCTTTAACCACTTTGTCAGTTGTTTTTAAGGGACTGAAGGAAGAGGAATTTTGCTCTCCCCCCCAGGGCATATTTGGCAATGTCTGGAGACATTTCAGTTGTCACAACTCTGGACAGCAGGGGTACTACTGAAATCTAGTGGGTAGAGGCTGTTAAATATCCTACAATGCACAAGATAACCCACCACAACAAAGCATTCTCTGGCTCAAAATGTCAATAGTGCCGAAATTGAGAAATCCTGGCACGATATAGACAGAATATGGCTATGAAAGATAATAATTTAGAGCTGTGAAATGGTCAAGACTACCATGGAAGCTGGCAGTATTGAGTGGAGTAATCAAATGAATCAGCTACCATCTCATGAGCAAACTCACCTGCCCCAACCGCTATGCATATTTTCTCAGAGGCTCTCAAATATTCCATTTTTAGTGGGGAAGAAATCTACATATTTAAATTATATTATGCATGTATATTGATCTAAAAATAAAAACGGGCACAATTACTGCCTTTACTAATGTGAAACCTTGGGACTTTGCTGATCTGAGGAATGAAAGCATAGGCCAAACAGGTTGAAATTTTAAAAACTGAACTTGGGAGAAAGAAATCTTTCCTCTACAAAGAAGAAAGATGCCAACCTAGAAGAAGAAATGCACACAAAAGAAGGAGAGAAAGGGCTTCTGAGAGTGTCCTGGTTATCGGGTCCATTCATTCCTGTGATTTGGTTACTGAGCCAGGAAGTTGCTCATTTTTGCTTAAGCCAACTTGAATTAGGCTTCTGTCACTTGTGACCAAAAGAGTCCACACTAATACACTACTGGATTAATACCGGTGATTTCAGGAATTAGCAATAATGCAATGAAATATGTATTTTATACTTGGGATTGGGTCTTTGATTACAAGTTTAAGAGAAATTCCTAAACCACTCATTCAATGTACCTAGCATGTATCTAATATTCTGTGCAAGGTGCTGGAAATATGAAGACAAACAATAGCATCTTCTTTCAAAGAACTCTCAGTCTAGTTGGGGAAACAAAAAAGCACCATATGGTATGAATTCAATGCACATCTTACTGTGTGAGCCTTCAGGAGGGGCACCGACTCTAAAGGATCAAGAATAACGTAGAGGTGGTAACTGCCTAAATTGAGTCTTGAAGGACATTATCAGCAAAGCTGGGAGTAAGAAAAGCATTTTAGTTGCATAGAGCATTAATGAAAGCTGAGCAGAGGGGAATAGTAAGGTAAAATCCAGACACTTTAGTAGTGCATTACAGCTGAGTGTGGGGTGCAAGGGTTTGGCATTAGTGATGGGGGTGGGAGAATGGCCAGGAAGGAGCCTGGAATGGAGGCCGGGTTTGTGTCTTGAAGATCTTGATGAAAAGTTGGGACTTTATCCCAGAAGTTTTGGGACATCACTGATGGATTTTATGCAGGGGAGCGACATGATGCATTTTTAAGAAGTATCTGCTCTGTAAAATGGGGATAATAACAGACACCTAGCAATATTGTTGCAAAAATTATAGATAATCTTTAAAGCTATGTTTGCTGTGCTTAAAGATGGACAAGCCAATCAAGGTGTGCTCTTTCTGTTCTGAACATTGTTAGGGATTCAGAGTTAAGCATCCATTAGTTGGTGTGATTACCACAAACTTTTATCTGAGGCTTAGACTTGCTTTAAGCCAGGTAATGACCAGATCTGTCCAGCTCCGTCTCAGGACTGGCCAGACAATTCAGGTTTCCTCCAAACCAGGACATTCCAGACTGAGATGGAGTTTTCAAGATCATCCTGGAACTTAAAAGACCCTGTAGCCACTATGTAATCTTCTCAATAGCTGAGGATTGGGAAATGGAGTGATAATCACCATCCATGAATTTAGGTTTATATTAGGCTTAAAAAAAAACACTCAATAAATGCTCTTGGACTAAAAACTAATCCTAAAGAATGCTTCTTTTGGGTCACAAGGTGGCATAATAAGGAAGAAACACTCCATTGCAACATAAAATATCCAATTAATCTTTGCTATGTTAAAAGAAAGGCAGAGAGGGGACAAGTGGGAAAAACAAGTTCACCTCAGGCTACCAAACCACTGCCAGCTTTCTCTCTAGTGCTATAAGTCACTGGGTTATGCAGTATATTTTACTTTTTTTAAAAAAAATTAAAATTATTGGGGTGACATTGATAGATAGGACTATATAGATTTCAAGTGTACCTCGCTATGATACATGATCTGCACATTGCATTGTGTGCCCACCACCCAAGAGACCCCTTAGAAATTTTAAAGAAGTGGAAGAAATTACTTGGAAAACACAATAATTTAAAAATGTAATACCTCAGTTTAAAACAATAAAATCTCTACCAGAGTGCTAATTTTGTGGTAAAGACAGAGTTTATCTCAAATTAGAGGAAAATGAAAATTATCTGAAAACATAGCATTTTACATACGAAGTTTGGAAGCAATGTCCATTTGTTAGTTACATCTTTTTCCTGTGTATTTTTAATCAGATAGCCAATTTTAAGGCTTTAAATTAGCCACTTAAACATATTTTTAATAAAATTTCTAATTGTTAACATTTTCCCAGGTAACTGAAAACTTTTCAACAATTTAGAATTTTTAAAATAAGACATTAAATAACCATATATGTACATGTAATTGTATAGAAAACTTTAAACAGACTATATTAGAAACGATTAACAGCAGTTTTTTCAAGGTTGGAGTTGTCAGATGGAGAAGGAGAGAGGAATTTAACTTTTTCACTTTATATCCTTTGGTACAATCTGATATTTCTCAATTTACACCAGCAAGTACTGTTTTAATAATTAAAAGAACTAGATAAAAGAAATATTTTTTCTAGCTTAAATATGTATATTCTTCATAGTTGACAGCTCTAAGTTTTCTCCCCTTTAATGTCTTTTTCCCAAATCACAGAATACCCATGCATTAATATGTTATACATACAACTCTATTCAAAGATATGTAAATGACCTTGAAATTATAATGCAATCTGTTTACAGCAAGGGCAGATGTGACTGAATCATAGTACAATAATCCAGAAAGTTCATGTATTTTTGTATGTGCAAATTAAGACATGGAGTGATTTTATGTTCCTATACATTTTTTCTATTTCTATATGTTCAACATTTGATTATTAGAAATCAGATTACTTCTCCTACCACATGATGAAACCCCACTAATAGTTTTTTCATTTTCAAAATGTAACAGTTATTCAGAGTAATTTATTTTTCCCAAGTAAACTAGTTGACTTAAAAAGATACACCTGATTCTAAATATTAGCCTCAATGTGAGGCAAAATCTCTTGAAATTTTTCAAAAGATTGTTCCTTTAAAAACATCCTTAATAAAGACATTTAGTGTTTAATTATGTTGTCATTTACAAAGCCCATGTTTTCAACAGGTGCATTTTACTCTGTAACCTTGGGCAAGCTATTTAATCTCACTAAGCTTCAGTTTTCTCATCTTTAAGATGGGGATAATAATAAGACATAGTTCATAAGGTTATCATGATGATTAAATGAAATAATGCAAGTAAAATGCTTAAAGTAGTCTTTAAACACTCAATGAATATTAATTTATTTTGCTTAGAGTTTCACTATTATTTAACATTTCCCAGCATAAAGTCTAGCTTTTGAACTATACAGCTTTAAAACACTTAGTAGAGCATATTCTTCCAGTTTTGATATTACTTGTTTAATTTCAACTCCTAGAACAATTAATCTTTCCTGCTATGTAACACAAATGAAACCAACTGTGAATTACATTTATTTCAATTCCTGCATTTAATATGTATCAGTTAGCTAACACTTATTTAGCTTACTATAGCTAAGTACCAGTAAGAATAGCGATAGTAACAACAAATACATATTTGAAATGGTCATGCCTTAGAATAATTCTGAAATGGTTTCGTATTGTCAGAAAAGGATTTCCAACAATTACATTTATAAGGTACTGGTTTTCCACAGAATGAAAGGAAACTCATATTCTCATGCTCTAATGTATAATTGTAGATTTAAAAATAGTTAATTTTTAAAAGTGCACTTTTAAGGAAAATAATTGGATTAATAGAGTAATAATAGCTTAGATAAATAAAATATATACTACTTTAAACATGAAATTTGAGGATAGACCTTGAGGGTTAGAATAAAATTAGTTGAGTTGATTGCAATAAAAAGACTTATTTAAACATGATACATTTCTTAGGGTTTCTTTTGAACTCCTGCTCTGCATATTCAGAAGCTATAATATGAAGCCAGCGGTACAGTACCTTGATCAGGTTGTGTCCCACAGCGTAGACAGCTGCTAAATTTCCTTTCTCTCCAGGGGCATGCATACCTGTCCCATACCCATGCCAAGCAACTAGATATGGGTTGTGAATTGTAATCCAGTATTTGACACGGTCCCCAAACGTCTGGAAACAGTATGTGGCATAGTCATTGAAGATATCTATTAGAACTTCATTTTTCCACCCCCCGTATTTTTCTTGCAGTGCCAAAGGCAAGTCCCAATGGTATAAAGTTACTATAGGCTCAATGTTTCTAAGTATTAGAGCGTCCAGAAGACTGTTATAGTACTGGAGACCTTTTGCATTGGCAACTGCTGCTATTCCATCGGGGAAGAGCCTTGGCCAGGAAATTGAAAATTGATAAAAAGAGACGCCTATAAAATCCAGAGCCGATAAGTCCTTTTCCAGAAAAGTGTAACTGTCACTGGAACTATTCACACTGCTGACATTTTTAAGGTGCGTCTGGGTGAAATGATCCCATATAGAGGGACCTCTTCCATCTGCCTTCCAATTCCCTTCCACTTGAAATGCTCCAGTCCCAACGCCCCAGAAAAAGTTTTTAGGAAAAGTGTCATAGAGAAACAGCTGACTTTCATTTACCGGGCTGTAATTAGGATTTTTAGACCATATAGCTCTTCCGTCTCCGGAGAATCCAGTAACAGCTCGGAGGAGAATAAATGTTGACAGGATGACAGATCTCTGCAGTCCCCCGGTGGACATTGTTTCCCTATAGCGTATGTTGCTTTCATCAGTCCTGAAGCAAATCCATTCATTCCCTGGAGATTCTGCCGCACAGCCTGGCTTCACTCGCCACTAACTGCTCGACTGTCTTATCAACGCTTCAGTAAAAGCTTGTGATTGTAAAGCTCTGTCAATGATTAGCTTGAAGTGTGAGACTTGGGATGGGCCATGGAGAGCAACGTAGTCTGAGGGAGGTGGCTCTATTACAGCCACCAACACATTTCATCCTCTTATTATGGGAAAAATTAGATGAAAATGCATCAGTGACAATAGTCCGAATGTGTAACTAAAACATATGTAAACAATGAATAAAAATGCCATATTTTCTCTTTAGCCTTTTCTCTGTAGCCTACTGACTCAAATCTTTCCTGAATGTTTTGACCATTATTGCCTACAGTATATGCCTTTTTTATTTTTATAATTTTGGAGTGGTTATTTTATTATTTCACATTTCAGGAAAAACAATCTTATATGCAAATAATAGCATTTCTACATGCCAATAATAAAGAGTTAGAAAACATAAGATATTACACTTTCACAAAAATTATAATACATCTAAGAATATTCTTAAATGTTACCCAATTTAAGAAAATTATAAAACTGTGTTGCTAAATTTGAAAGAAGATGAAGAACTATATAGCACTTTTTTTGGTGGAAACACTGAATACTTTCCAATTTAATTTATAAACTTAATACACTTTTAACCCAAATCCTCTAATACCAGATTTTAGTTACACAAAATTATTGTGAAAGTTCCTTTGAAGAATAAATAGGCACTAATTACAAAAAAAAAATCTGAAAAGGAAAATAGTGAAAGCATAGACTACTTTCAGGTATGAAAACATTTAAAAAAGCACAAATTAAACAGCATGATTCTGGGATAAGAATAAATAGAAAGAAATATTGTACAGAACCTATAGCCTCCAAATAACCTTGAAAATGTTTAATGTTTTAAATACTTGAAATATCACATACCAATGAGAGGCAGAGTGGTTAATAGTTTGGCATCTGGAGTTAGACTGCCTAAGTTTAAGTATAGCTGTGTGACTAGAAAAAGTTATTTAATTTTCTGCACCTCAGTTTCTCTTATATAAGAAAATATATTTAATAGTATCTACTGCATGGATTAATGTGAGGACTAAATACATGTAAAGCACTTACAACAGAGATGGACATATACTAAGTGCTCAATAAATGTTACTATTGTAATTTTTTTTAAAAATATATTTTATTGATTTTTTACAGAGAGGAAGGGAGAGGAATAGAGAGTTAGAAACATTGATGAGAGAGAAACATTGATCAGCTGCCTCCTGCACACCCCCCACTGGGGATGTGCCCGCAACCAAGGTACATGCCCTTGACCGGAATTGAACCCGGGACCCTTCAGTCCGCAGGCCGACGCTCTATCCACTGAGCCAAACCGGTGCTGGCACTGTTGTAATTTTTATGTGAAAACTGGGACTGAACCCTCAACCTAGGTATGCCCTCACCAGGAATCGAACCGGCCACCTTTTGGTGTATAGGATGACACGCTCCAACCAACTGAGCCACACCAGCCAGGGCCATAGCAAACACCTTTTAATAAGTTGTACGCATTTTAATTACTCACATCCCTGTGCCTTGGTACACGTGCTCTCTGCATAGGATGTGTTCTACTGCATGTGAGGGTGTAAATGATTACATTTAAAAGTTTTATTTTTGTAATAATTTTGCAGTTTATACTTATAGCAAATCATTAGGCTGTACACCTTAAATTAGTACAATGTTCCAAAATTATCAAAATTACCAAACATTATAAAAAGTACAAAATTACCAAAAGTAAAAATTAGTGATGAAAACCAATGTTGATGATGCTTATGTCTACCTGTTTTTCAAAACTTCACTACTTCCTCTGGAAAGCTTTTCTGACTCCCGGTTTGATTTTATTTATTTATTTAAATTTTAAAAATGTGTTTACAGTTTATTAATCCTCTCGTGAAAAATGTGCACAATCACTGCAGATAAGGTCACTGCAGAATCTTTACTCCTCTGTTGTCCAATCTCCAACGTTTTGCAGCATCAACCTTGGCCTTAGCAGCCCCCTGACTTTCTTCATCCTGTTCTTGTGACCCTTTCACTGTTTTCTTGAGGTCTGTTTCTTCTCATACAGGCCATGTCTTGCAAGTCTATGTGTGGGTTCATTGGGTGTGTGTGTGTGTGTGTGTGTGTGTGTAATCCAAGGAATTGTAAATCATGCTAAAGCCACCACCACAGTGGGTTCTGAATCCAAATATAGAGATGATATCTGGTGTAGTCTTGTACATTTTGGCTAGTTTTTCCCAAAATTTCTGTCTTAGGGACTGTTACTTTCTCGGGGTGAAGGACGTCAATAACTGTTTGTTTCTGTTGAAGTAGTAGGTTGGTCATAAACTTCCTGGGCCAGACAGTTACTGTGTTGTTCATGGTGGTGGTTGGTCCACAGGCAGCCAGGAAGGAAAAGAGCCAGTTTGATTTGATTTAGATGGATCTCCTCTGTGTTCCCATGGCAGCTCATGCTTTCTCTACTGGGACAGTCATCACACAATAAATCAATAAATTACACAGTAAATTTATCTGTATCCTCTGTTCCACTGTTCTCTCCATCTTTCTTTAAAAAACAGCAATCATGACCAGTTAGTTGAATATTTAATGTAGGGGCCTAGTCATCACTAAAGTATATGATGAATGAATGAATGTACCTATAGTATACTATGTGTACCTCTATCACTACATTTATCACATAATCCTAGAATGGTTTGTCTCCTCCACTGGACTATAAGACTCTCTCTCTCTCTTTCATTTTTTGTAAAATCTTTATTAAAAATAACCAAATATTTATTAAAATGGACAACATGATGGCGATATATTCCAAGGTAAGAATATCTACCAGAGCCCTAGCCGATTTGGCTCTGGATGGAGCATAGGCCCTTACAGACCAAAGGGTCCCAGGTTCGCTTCCAGTCAAACGCATATACGTTGTTTGAAGACTCCTTCCCAGTCAGGGCCCTTATCATGGCTGATGCAGTGTAAAACTATCTCTTATCTAAATTTTTTAATCATTGTTTATCATAGAAAATGCTTAATTATTGTCTATGGAATGAATGGAGTTGGTACAATTAACTCACTATAAAATAAAAATGTTCCAGGTTTATGGATATGCTAGAGGTCTAGTGCACAAAATTCATGCACAGGTAGGGTCCCTAGTGGCTCACTATACATTAACCCACTATAAAATTTAAAAGTTTTATGCACATAAATGTGCATATTAGGCTTTTATTATTATATAATTTAATATTTACTTTTATTTTCTTCCAGTTTGCTGTGGCTATATTGTTTTTAATTTACCATCTTAACATTTCTGTGGCTATATATTTTTGAATTAGGTGTGTTTGTGTAAATTATTACATTTAAAGTTTTATTTTAGTAATAATTTTGCAGTATATACATATATCAAATCATTATGTTGTACACCTTAAATTAATACAATGTTATATGTCAATTATCCTATATAATAAAAGCCTGATATGCACATTTAGGACTGGGTATGTGCCCTGACTGGGAAATGAACCGTGACCTCCTGGTTCCTAGGTTGACACTCAACCACTGAGCTATGCTGGCTGGCCCTATAATTTTCTATTACAAACAATTCAGAAATTAACAACCCTGAATTAATGACTGCATATGTAAGAGATACAAGAGATTGCTAAAACTGGAATTTCTGGGTTAAAGGGGGTGTGCATTTTCTGTTTATGGATATTTCCTGACTGCCCTTCAGAAAGGCCGTTGGTACTTTTAAGCTCTTGCCATTAGCACCTGAAAGCCAGTTTCCCCTACTCTCCTCAATACAGGGTATTTCCAGTCCTTTTACTTTTTGTCAGTATGATAAGGAAAAGACAGCATTTCATTTTTGCATTCATTCGGGCTTCTCTGATTATTGATCTTTTCATATTCTTATTGGTTCTTTCTATTTCCTCTCATGTGAGTTGCCTTTTCATCTACTTTGTTTTACTGTCCTGTTTTTTTTTTTTGTCTTTTTCTAATGAATTAGAAGGAGCTCATTATATATAAAGCAGTGAATCCCTTGTGTGATATAAATGTAAATATTTTCTCTCAACAATGTGTCTTTTAACTTTTTAAAAAACAGTTTTATTGAGATATAATTTCCATGCCATACAATTCATCCACTAAAAGTATGCAATTCACCAGTTTTTAGTATATTCAGTGTATTTAGACCCGTGCAACCACTACCACAATCAATTTTAGAACAATATTTAATTTCATTTTAATATATTTACATGTGCAAATGATTTGAATTTTTGTGCAACCAAATTTATTATTCATTCCTTTTAATGTTTCTGGGCTAGGAAAGCCATGCCCACTTTAAAATTATATTGATAGTCTCTTATATCTTCTCTTTAGTACATTTATAGTTATTTTTAGTACATTTATAGTTTTGTTTTACATGTTGTGATCTTTTTAAAATTAAAAAATGTTTAAGTTATTTACTCCTCCCCAGTCTTCTTCCCCACTTTCAACTCTTACAACTGTTCTTCTAGAATTTGTACATCTCCATATTTCATTTTGTATAATCTTCAGGTAGTGGTACCTTTCAATTAATTAATTTCAGACTATCAATTTCCTGTTTTGGTAGATGAAGTTTTAGGTTTCTTGTATCACCATTTCCTTTTGGTAAAAATAAAACCCCAACACTTACTTTTTTGGTTAAATTGACATTTAGGGTTTATATTACTTTTACATAAATATTATTCATTGCTGAGTATTGTAGTATACTATGATTATGCTCTCTCTTTTTTTTCTTATAGTTTAATTATTGCCCTTTTTAAAAAAAATTGCTCAGTTGTCTTTGTAGCTATTGCTAAGGCTTCCCACACCTGCCAATAGCTCTCTACAATTTTCCGTAAGATCCATCTCTTTTATTATTAGTTTCAATCTTTTCTCTGGGAGGTAGCCCTTCTGGGGACCTTCGTTCCCCTCTATCTAGTGATGCTCTGACTATTTGCTGTCTTGGGACTCTGCCCTTTGCTACTGTCTTAGGAATTCCTTTCCCTTTCCCCTGCTTTGTATTGTTATTTGAATCTCATTCTTTCATCTTCCTTGGTTCACTCCCTCATTGTCATGGAGTGGATGCCCCAGCAGCTTGGTCCAGAGGGCACAGTGATGACAGTTCTTTCTTTGCCTGTCTCCTGAGCGACTGCTGCACCCAGACTGCTCGCCCGCTACTCCTGGGGCACAGCTGCCACCTGGGATGCCCCTCTTTTTTTTCAGGTGCTCGGTCACCTGTTTTCTGTACCCCGCATCTTCC